GTGTGGTGTGGTGTGGTGTGGTGTGGTGTGGTGTGGTGTGGTGTGGTGTGGTGCAATATAATGTAGTGTAATGTAATGCTATGTTATGTTAGTATGTTAGTCTGTCTGTCTGTCTGTCTGTCTGCCTGCCTGCCTGCCTGCCTGCCTTCGGTCTGTCTGTCTGTGTCTGTGTGTGTCTGTGTCTGTCTGTGTCTGTACTGTCTCTGTACTGTCTCTGGTCTGTCTGTACGTCTGTGTCTGTGTCTGTGTCTGTGTGTACTGTGGTCTGTGTGTACTGTGTGTATATTATGTATGTGTATGTGTATGTGTATGTGTATGTGTATGTGTATGTATGTGTATGTGTACTTATATGTATATGTATATATATATATGTATATGTTTCAAGGATTTGCTACTACTGTCCGGTTTGCCCGTATCAGGGTATTGGCTGACAGAAGAAATGAACCGCACAGCATGTTACCAACACTGCGGTCACGGTCCAGGCCTGTCGTGAACTGGAGAAATGTGCCAGTCACAGTCGAGGCGGGGCACGGCATCAGCAACTGATTCTCAGTCTTCTCCACTGAAAGAGGTTGGATGCATATTGGAACGACGGTCTAGAGGGCGCTGGATGGTTCCGCGCGAAGAGATGCAGGGGACCTTTGCAGCCTTCGTTTCGCTCCGATCGCCAGGCAGCAGTGGCAGTTTGGGCAGCTCGGCCTCAGCTCTTGAGGAGGGAACTAGTACTGAAGTTCACTGAGAAAAGCCATTGACAAATGTATTCTTTTTGTTGTTTTCTTGCGGTGTTCGATTTAGTTGCTCTTAATTTTTAGTGGATATGCCATCACTGAATCACACTGGACCCAGTGACAGTCCGGTTGCAGCGGTCTTTCACGTGGGATGAACAGGTAATCTACCTCTCATCAACCTTCATCCCGCATGTTGATATGATTGACATACAGGAGGAGTGTTCAGAATGAGGCGGCATGACACGAAAAGCACGGTTGTCATTCGTGCCTGGTGACCTGGTGCCTGTTTTTATTGTGCTTTCTCCATGAAATTCTACTGCTGGCTGCTGCTACCCCACCAAAGCCTTTGTGCGAGCATAAGGCAACTCGAGGCTGTGGTATAGGTGGGTTCTCTGTAATTCTAAACAATGATGAGCAACGACCCGCAGCAACGACCCCAAACCATTCCAAACCCAGATGACGAGCGATAGAGCGATGACGAGACTGCAAGAATCGAACAACAAAAACACGCTACGTACGGGTATTTTGGAAGCTGCCCAAACTTTGATTGATCCCACTTGTATGGTTTGTCACTCTACTACTGTGAGAAAAAGCAGATTGAGTGGCGTTCCCTCTTCAGAGCAAGGTACAGTGGAGGAGAGTGACGAAAGTGAAGGCTGGCCATTTTGACCAGTGGAGGCTTCTATCAACTGGCACCCAAGTTTCATTCTCTTTTCTAGCTCCCCTCTTTTGTGGGGCCCTTTGCTGAGTGTCTTTAGTTCCAAGTTTCGGCTTTCTGGCCAAGCTTTCTCAGGCACCAAGACATACGATTCGGACATGTCAGTCTTAACGACTCCTTGAGTGGATTTCTTGTTGCCTCTCTCTCTCGCCAGAAAAGACCACAGATGGCAAAGTGGACTCAGCACTGGACAGGGTCAATGCGCTTATGCTCCTGGTGCCACTCGGGCCCAACGATTCCGGACCGGGAGGATGTCGCAAAGGAGCCTGTGTGATCTAAATTAGGAGCCTATGCTTGCTTCTAATGTTTCACAGATCCTCATTTAGCTTATGGACCCCGACTGAATCGTGTCTCCCATTGCAAGCAAGATACAAAGTGCAGCAAGTTTGGTCAGCGCTGAATATGTGCTAAACATTTTGCAGTTGCCTGTAATCACTGTAGTAGCCTTTAGCAATCTATCAAGGAAGGACATTCTAATTCTGTGAGGTTACCAGAAGCAGGCCAATCCTTTTCCGTGAGGATCTGTAGCTTTTCATCCATCTACAAGCTTTAGATTGGAGCTACTAGCCACCCCAATGGGTGTCCAATGCATGGGTGTCCAATGTCCAAGTTCGAGGCTACATCTCTCGATTCGATTCGTCCGTGTGCGAACTTGTGCAGATGAGAGAGACGATGAATCATTTGACGATGTTTTAGGAAGAGGCGTACCAACAGTAAGAGCGCCAAATCCATTTTGCCCCACCTGACACACAGTGCAAAGCCCTCTTTGCATGCTTTTCTCTATGCAAAAAAACATGGCTCCTAGTTCTTACAACTGCGCGACACTTCTTCTAAAAGAGCTCCAGACCCAGCCAGTCACTGAGGTCAGCGTCCGTCAATGAGGGCCGATGTCCAGAAGCACACTGGGCAGAACTCAATGCTGACCTCACTCATGCGAAGGAGTGGGGGTTGCTTCTTCGACCCTGGTGGTATAAATCAATGCAACCGGATAACAATATTTGTACATATTTGTACAATATACATACAATGTGTCATATGTAATATAGATATAGATACATAATATATACATACATGTTACATGTGTGTCATGATTCACATCCACATATATCTACTATTATGTAGTGGTCACGCGCATTTGCGTCCTTAGAGCATGCCTAGCCCTGCGAGCTTAGTACGATCGTAGGCCGAATCAGGAGTCCTTGTTTGAATGGACAAGAAGATGGTCAAATCTATGCATGACAGATACATGTGTTTTCCTTTAGACATCGCAATACTGAAAGAATCTCTCTGAGGGAAGTTCCAGAGAATCCTAGTCATAGTCAAGTGCAGGAATCGGTTTAGCAGAGCTTGGACAATGAAGTCCTTTGCTTTGATTGGCATTCTTCGCAAGCATGGTAGCCCACCACAACATGTCTAGCAGAGCTGAGCATGTGATCATTGGCGGAGACGGAGTAGTTTTGGAGGGCTGTACACAGCCCCCTCAAAATGTAGTTGTGGACATCCTACTCGCCCAAAGCAATGAAGTCCAAGTATTTATGTGAAGGTCTCAGAATAGGAGGTTCTGTGTTTGTCATTTGGAAAAAAGATCCTGGATCTGCCCAGCTTCCAATATATCATATATATATATATATCATATATATATATATCATATATATATACTTATATATATACATATAATATATACATTATATAAATCATTCAATCAATGCTCTAACCCAGTGGCTTTGCATTTGGACCAATCACGTGTCTCCTTTCAGAGCCTGTTGCCGGTGTGGGAGGAGAAGTTATCTCGCATTCAGAGTCTCGTGCAAAAGCGCGCAGTCGGGGCCTCGGCACTTCCAACTGAAAGGATCGGAAGAACACCGCAATCGGACTGGAACCAGAGCAATCAGCTCCCTCAATCGCATTGGTTTTGCATTGGTTTTCACATTGGTTTAGCATCACGCGGTCCCAAACTCCGAGAAGTACAGTGGTTTCAGAGGTTTATAGAGGCACGGGCCCCCAAGATGTCACTTATATAGAAGGTATAGGGGGGTTAAGAAAAAACTCCTTTGGGCATTGTGCCGTCTACTCTGAAATCACTATAATATATGATCTCCGAAACTTGAATGTCTGGAGTATTGACCATTTCCCGTCCACCCAGGGAAAGCTCCCTCTTGGAGCACCTGAACGGCATTTTTGCCGAGAGGCGGGAGGGCTTAAACGGGTGCTGGATAGTTTCTTGTTGATGAAAGGCAGACGGGGACGTTGTGGAGGCCTGTGTTTTATAGTGTTTTTGGCTCATGTTGAGCGCTTGTACTGTACTTAGACAACTGTATGTCGCACGACACATCAAAATATCACTATGTCAACTTTTATATTCCTTATATGTCAAATCCCAAAGGGAATCTCTCAAAAGAATCTAATGGAGACATTTGGTTCTTGAACCCCTCTATTCGTTTGACAATCTTGATCATGCGAGAGCATCCTCGTTGTCAGTGCCAAGTATACCCAACTAACGCCGATCACCCCCTGAAGTGGCCTCCATGAGCTAATACCAACTCGCTCTCCTCGCTCATGCTTCATGACTTCAGCTTTCATCAAGGGTCTTCCGAAGCCATCTCCATACTTTTTCATCGAAGTGTTCCTTATTGATTTCTTTCGAATAAGATCCGCACGTTCTCAGCGACACGAAACGCCTGACTGACTGACACCCATCACATGGTACTGCCTGCCTGGCCCGCTGGCCCAGCATCATGCTGCACACCCCATAGCTGGACCAAATTGATGTTGGGAGGTTCTCAATTCTGAATGCCATTGCTCATGAATCCAACATGGACTTCCTCATGGATTTGCATACTTAAGACACCTGGATCCCCTGCTGATCCCACCCAGGCTCATACTGGGCAGCTCATGCTGGGGGGTCCCCCTCATGGGGGCAACAAACAGATCGTTAGTTCACACGTTTTTTTTATTTTGCTAAAATATGCTGTATTGTATGTGTTTATTCTATATAATATGTTTTTCTTTGTGGATTGCTCGTAAGATTTTGCCTCCAGAGATTTCATCAAACTATGTAACTACCGGGCTTTTTTGATCACATCATCCCGCGTGTGCAAAAGAAAATGCAAGCACATATGCAACCCAAGTGCGGTCTTGCGGCAAAGAGTTGTTTGCGCACCATGTTCTAAGATGCTCTAAGAAAGACCGTCCGTCCGAACCAAAAGTACGGTATAATATAATATATATCTATATATTTTTAAACATTGTGTTTAGATGCTTTTACTCTACTATTTCAACTTCGCTTCTCAATCTGTATTCACTTCAGTAATTCGCCTGTGGAAGGGGGGGTGGGGACCTGGTAGGTTCTCCGGGGCCTGAGGGGGAGAGCCAAACATTGACAAATTAAGGTTGGTTTTTCTTTGTTCTCCCCTTCTGACTTCCTTAGTAGGGCGAACCCCTATCAAGATAACAATGTTCCAAACAAAGAGCGCGAAGCCCAATGGCCTTCCTACTTTTCTTTTCAGGGCAGTCGGCCAGTGCATCAGGATCAAGTCTTGGCCAAACTCATACACTCTACTCTGTAGGTTCAGGCCGGCCAATCTGGGAACCTCAGGGCTGTTGAAAGAACACCTTCGTCGTGGTGACCCACCTCGTCGGACCTGGTGACCAGGTCCGTCGTATTTGTGTCTCGCGGCGTATTTGTGAGCCGGGGGCTCAGCCGAGAGTTCGAGGAAATCAGAGTTGACATCATAGGAGGTCACCAATAGTCACCAACAATGGAGGCCATGAATCATATGGAAGTTCTCACCAACAGTGGAAACCAGCATTGAGGGGTGGCGCGCTTGCGCCATCCTCCGGGTGCTTGCCTTCGCCATGCCAAACAAACACGACATCACGACATGGCCTTCGTGGGCCTTGGTATTCATTTTGCTTTGGGAGCAAGTACCAACAATTCCCACTGGCGTTTGGGTTCATGTCCGTGCCTAGGCCAAGGCGCTGAGTGTTGAATGCGTAGGACTACGCGGGCAAACAGAAAAATGCCCTAGGGAAGCGTTGCCATCGAAGGCTGCAAAAAAGACACCTCAAAAACATCCAGGATTTATGTGGCGTTGCAGATGACTGACGAGTGATAGCAGCTACGTGCGGGACCTTCCCTCCATCCTTCCTCGAGCACATGAAAACACTGCCTATTCCACCTGCGGTGTTTTCGTGCAGAACTGCTTGGTGTCGCCAATGACTTTAAAGGCTAACGACGGAGAAAAAAGGGCTAACGCGCGCCGCAGCGCGGCCCATGCAGCTCTGTGACGTTGAATAGCAGGTGGGGTCGATCGGGCTGGGCTGTCCAGGATCTGTCACCCATGTTGTTTGCCATCCAGTTGGTCACTGTTGGAAGAATCAGAACTAGTCCACAGAGTGTGTAGCCCGCTACTGCCCAAGTGTGGCCTATATAGATCAGATGATGTTGGTGAGTTGAACTGAAAGCACTTCACAACAGCCGAAGCATGGATCCCAAATCATAGAAACTCAAGACGACGCTACAGCCACAGCTGTTTAATTCGCAGGATAGAGTACAGACCCGCATACATGATAAAAGCATCACTTTCATTCAGCTTCTATGAGCATTGCATGAGTGATCGCTTGCAACGGCGACCATGAGCTTTACTCCACCTGAGGCAGGGCAGAGAAATGCTTGCCATATGTTTCGTCACATGCCACGGCCGCGAGCAGCACCCCATGAGCGAATTGACCAGCGCAACAAGACAAACATGCTGAATCTTCAAGGGTTGGTTTTTACTTGTAGAAACTGTACATCTCCATGTGTCTTTACCAATTTCAGAAAATCACATGTTGCAAGGGCAATACAGCTGCCAGTGCTGCCAGCACTGCCAGCACTGGAGGCACAGAGCAGCTGCAGTTTAACGGGAAACTCTTGGGACTCCATTTTCAGAGGAAGTTGCAGGCACTATGTCAGTGAGAGTACAGGAGCAGATGCCTATGCCACTTTGGGCAAGACCTCAGGTGGTATCGTATCAGGTGCTTTGCGTTCCAGGTCCAGACTGTTTGGGCGACGCCAGGCGTTTCGACTCCGACCGGCAGTGTGGCGAGTCGCAAAGAGACGGCTCCGAGGCGAAAACGACCCGCGGGCGCGAAGGAGCCGATAGGTTTCCCACGCCCTTCGGGCAGAGTGCCGTTTTGCCGGCCAAGTGGCGATTTCGGAGAAGACCATGCTGCACATCGTTCGATCATGCATTCTTTATCAAAACATTCTTTTGTCATCAGGCATCAGGGAGGATCGAGAGAACACATGCATAAGCAAGTGAAGTCCGAGGCAACAATCAAGTCATCCTTTCCGAATGCAGCCCCCCCATCTGTCAGCTGCACAGCGACGTTCCGCAGGTATGGTATATCCAACCCAGTTTCCTTGCAGGACAGAGTTATGTTGGGTGCGAACAAGGTGTTCTTCAGGATTGAAAACAGAAAGCCACACCCAACGGAGGAAGGGCAAGAAGAAGTGCCAGCAAAGTATAATTCGTCCTGAGGCTGGCCAGGATTGGTGGATGGCATGTAAAAACCACTCCAACCACTCACTTCATTTGACTACCTCCTATAGTTCAACAACAGAGGCAAGGCCCTAGGCTCTATATAGGCTCTAGGCAAGTGTTGCAAACGATGTTTTTCAGCATTTGCCTCCAAGACTCGTCCAAGACGGCTTTATCTAAGCAGTCGGAGGTCCTGACCTCACCACCTGGATCGACCGGGCAGGAGCCCACGGAGGCGGACCTCGTCACCAGCGAGCAGTTGAAGAAGGCGGGCTGAGCTGAGCTGCGGGGGTTGATGGAAGATAGAAACCGCTGGTGGACATGGATGGATATTAATATATACTGTAGATGGATGGATCGATCGATCGATACTGTCGATATGCATATATATATATACACTCACATGCACTGTATATACATATCATGTATAGATATCCTCGAAGGAACCCAGGAGCATGGAGGACCATTTGTGATGGGAAGAGAGAGCTTCCGAACCCATTCTGGAGGCGCTTGGTTTGTTTGGCAGACGGTGGGTGATGGGAGCACGGTGGCGAAGGCAACGGAGACCCATGTCCTGCTACAAAGAGGTTCCGAAGCATCCACTTTCAACTGCTGGCCCTCCTTTTCTCTCTGGGCCATGCATATTTATGTCAATGCCCTTTTTCACGTTTGTCATACCGTCTATCTACATCGAATGAATGGCCGTTCCAGGACTTAGAGCAGGACTTCCCCCGGGAGACTGCTGAAGGCTTGGCCAAGCGAGAGCAAGTCTTGGAGGAGCAGCCTCACCACGATTCCCACTGGTTTTCAACAATGAGCAATCCATGACTTGAATCTAAAAGGAAGATAAGGAAGAGGAATACTATGAACAAAATTATGGAATACACCTGGCGAAATCCATCATTACTATTCTGGAATACTATTAACCTAAAAAGTTTTCTGAAAACACCTGGCAAAATCTGGCGTAAAGAACTCAAAAAACACATGCAATGTTTGCAATGTCGATGCGTGCGACAGCCAGCCATGTGTCTATGTGTCCACAACTGGTTGGGAAGGAGCAAACGATGGCTTCCCAACGAGTCTTTTTGCTCGGGTTCGCCACATGTCGGCTTGATTCATTTGGATTCGCAGATGAGGCTTAAGACGGTATTTTCGGATGATTTGACAATCATTTCTTACTAGTAGCGATGCCCTTAGCTACTATATAGTAGCTTCTTGTTAGTGGTAAGGCATCATGCTACGTTCATAGCGATGCCCTTGCTACGTTCGTAGCTTGGCTTTTGGGGCTCTTGAGGAGCTTGAGCGCATTGTCTCCGAATGGATTCTAGAAGAAGGTCGGGCTCAAGGAGTTCAGGATGCCTCTTCGTTTGCCAAGATCGTGACGGTGGGATCTTACAGGCAAGCGAGGGAGTTTGGGCAGCCGAGAAAAGGGTTTAATTACCGGTTTACCCCTGAATCAGATAGAATAAGTGTTATTCAATCAGGAAGAGACACGGAGATTTCATCGGACTGGGGCTTTCCTGGCTCGCCAGCACTGCAATTCAAGCGCCTCCCGAAACCGGAGCTGCACCGCTGCTTGCAGCTCGTGCTCACGTGAGCACCGCCAGGCTGGGGGTGGTTCAGCCTGGCAGTGACATGGACACACTGTGCATCGCGCCGCCTCACGTGAGCAGAGAGGTGAAGCCGAACGCGGAGAAGAACCGCTAGCCACGCGTGGGCCTTTCGTGTCTGATCTTCTGATTGAAAAGGAGAGGTTCCACAAAGAGGAGATGGGTTCCGTAGGCCCTGAGGAGAAGCATTGGGTTTAAGAGAATGCGTTCTTGATGGTTCTTGCGTTCCCATTGGTGGCAAGCTACCTCGACTTCAAGCCGTTGTTTGCTTCATGGGGTCAATGGATTGAAGTACGGCGGAAGACGCACATGCCATTTGCCAGCATAGAATAAGCCCGATTTGTGCGTAGCAAACTGAGAATTGGTATGAAAGGTCAACTTGATTCTTCATGACGTGTACATCATTCTATATCATGTTGATTGCATATGTGTCACCAGGCCTTTTTCACAGCTTTCCTCAAGAAGCTGGAGCATCATTCGCACGTGACAGATTGTGTTCCGATTCCAGGAGCGTTTGAGCCTCAGAAGTGGCCAGAAGTTGCGAAATGTCAAGAAAGTTCTTCTCATTTTCTCGGATGATTTATGAATCTTGGAAGATCTGTGCGAAATTCTGGTGTTTTCCATTGGAACACGCTGAGGTACACACCCATCATCAAGCTAAAGCTTAGAGGAGCCTCGGCCTTAGCTTGATTTGGAGCCCTTGCTATCAGTGATTGCATCTTGGTTTTGAATGAAATTCATTGCGGTCCGCGTCCTCTACAAACCTTTGACTCGAAGACATGGCTTGAACTGTTCCTCAGGATTCACAGCTATGCGAGCTGCTTTTCCCACCTCTCAATACACTAGTAACAAGAGACTTCCCATGATGGCTTGGTATTCTCTTTGTGCTGTAGAGACGTACAGGGAAAGGGACCTGAACACAGGTGAACAGCCTCATTCCCCGGCACTGACACGGCAAGGTCAGCATTGACTTGCTTTTCGCTCGCTTGGTTAGGCCAGTTGCCGGCTCCCCTCCCCCAATCGCATAGGATGTGAAGAGACACTTCTCTTTTGATAGAAGAGAATGGGAAACTCAAAGGATGCAATGGGCATGATGTGTTTTGAGTAAACAAGCTCAGAACATGCTCGGAACTGTGTTTTTACTTTACACTCAAGAGCATGCTGGAACGCCAAAGCTTCGAGCTGCGATGATTGGATCCTTTCCTTTCTGCCTTTTGCCTTTACATCAGGACGCACAATATATACTGTATATATAACTTCTATATATACATGTCCTTGTGTATATATATATACCTATACGTATGTGTATACGTGTATATTATGTGTATAATGACATATATGTATATATATACACATGTATGTGTGTATATATATATAGAGAGATGTGTTCGGATGGCCTTTGGAAAAATGATGAGATTAATGTCAGGCCTTTGGAAGAAGGCAAAGATGTGGAGGATCTCGTGAAGGAGTGAAAACCCGAACCGTGAAGAGCAGGTATGCTCTACAAGATAACTTGCTTCGCAAGCAGGACAAGGAGAGCTAGGTAGGCGTAGATTGTTGTTTCACTCTCTCCAGCAAGCCCACAAGCCCAGCCAGGGACTAGCACAATGTTTGCCTCTAAGTCAGTGAAGACAACACACCCAGGATGATGAGATCCTCCGTGAAATGGATGACAAGAGTGTTCTGGCACTCAGCCCTTTTGACAGAAAGGAGCATTTCCTAGGTCCTAGATGCATTGGCTGCAGTAGCAATGAGAAACCCAGAGGCTGGCTAAACCACACGCTTTTTTGGAGCAGGCACTCAGCTACCCAACCATCTGACACCGTTGCGGCCCCATGATTCGCTTTTCCGTCCCAAGAGTCCTCTCCGCTGAGGTACGATGTATCAACGGCTATCGGGTCGCAGAAGCTCAGCTGGAATGGCGTGTCAAAAGCCACCAGGTCTGTCTGCGCTGAAGGCATTGATCGATGAACAGGAACAAGAAGCTGCTAGTAACACAGGGCATCGCTACTAGGAGCAAGGACGCTACTAGTAACAAGGCGCTACTGGTAACAAAGGGCATCGCTACTAGGAGCAAGGATGCTACTAGTAGCTCCTGGCCTTACTACTAGGAACAAGGCGCTGCTAGTAACAAAGGCATCGCAGTCAAATCTCACCTTGGAAGCGAAGCAGCGCAACCTCAGTGCCAAGTGCCTCACACGACATGGCAAAGAATGATTTCCCTAATTAATTTGTATGTAACCTATGTATATATATATATACACAGATTAGCTTCATTAACTGCCTTCTCACATCACCATCCTGCCAAGACCGAGTTCCCACCTCACTTGGAGTCCTCCTTTGTTGGTGGACGCGAGTCAACTGTAGAATTTCACTTGTAAGACTCTCCAAACTTCGAACTCCCAGTACTGAGCTCGGCACCACTGAGGATAAGATTCTGAATCTTGTTCCGAACCAGGAGGCATTTAGAGAAACACTTCGCTTCGCCCACTTCTTAGATAACAACTGCTTGCGGTGTGTGTGTGTGTGTGGTGACGGCTAAGTGTTCACAGATGATTGTTGAGGAGGGCTCTGCCGGCAAGGCGAGAATTCCACCTCCTGCAAAAGAGTGCCTCCCACACACCTGCATTCCGATTTGGGCAGAATTTTGGCTGATCACCTTGCAGTTGTTGACAAACATCCCTACCCGAAATCATGGCACGTGTCTCCAAAGTTGCTGTTGGCTCCGTCCTTGGAGCTGCCTCTCTGGGAGGCCTGGCCTTTGTGGCTCCAGGAAGCCACCCAGTTGAAGTGGAGCCAAGGGTGACTGCTGCAAACCAAAAGTTCCTGTCCTCATCCACTCCTTCCGGCAGCTCCTCAGCAGTGCAGGGACTTAGCGGTGCCTTGGCAGTCGGAGGCCTGAGCGTCGCTGCGATTCGTGGTGCCGCAGCTGCTTCTCGACGCAAGGGTATCAAGCCAAGGGCATCTCAGAACGTGGTTGCTTGCAGGGGCTTGGCCAAGATGAAGATTGATGAGGTTGACCTCAAGGACCAGCGAGTCTTCATCCGTGTGGACTTCAACGTGCCCCAGGACAAGAAGGATCCCAACATCATCACCAACACAGCGCGAATTGATGCTGCACTCCCGACCATCAAGTATGCACTGGACAACGGAGCCAAGTCCGTGGTCTTGTGCTCTCACCTGGGCCGTCCTGATGGCCAGAAGAACGAGAAGTTCTCCATGAAGCCTGTCGCAAAGGTGGTCGAAGAGAAGCTGGGAAAGCCTGTGAAGCTGATGGATGATGTGATTGGCAAAGACGTCGAGGCTGCATGCGCCGACCCTGAGCCAGGCACCATCATTCTCCTGGAGAACTCTCGTTTCTACGTTGAGGAGGAGGGCAAGGGCAAGGATGCTGATGGCAACAAGGTGAAAGCTGATCCTGAGAAGGTGAAAGAATTCCGTGCTTCTCTTGCCAAGCTGGCAGACATCTACTGCAGCGATGCCTTCGGAACTGCTCACCGAGCCCACAGCTCCATGGTTGGCGAAGGCTTCCCAGTGAAGTGCTCAGGTTTCCTTTTGGCAAAGGAGCTGGACTACTTTGCCAAGGTCATTGACTCCCCAACCAGGCCCGTGTGTGGCATCCTTGGCGGAGCCAAGGTGGCTGACAAGATTCAGCTCATCATGAACTTGCTCGACAAGGTGGACATCATGATCATTGGTGGTGGTATGGCTTTCACATTCATCAAGGAGGCCGGTGTTGAGATTGGGGCCTCCCTCTACGATGAGGAGGGAGCCAAGTTGGTGCCTGAAATCAAGAAGAAGGCCGAGGAGAAGGGTGTGGAACTGATCCTGCCAGTGGACTTCGTGTGCTCTTCCAAGTTCGGCGAAGATGGAGAAATCCAAGATGGTGACATGGAGACAGGTGTGCCTGAGGGCTTTTTGGGGCTTGACATTGGCCCCAAGTCCATTGCCATGAACGATGAGGCCATCAAGAAGTCCAAGACCATTGTGTGGAACGGCCCCATGGGTGTCTTTGAGATGAAGTCCTTCGAGAAGGGCACCAAGCAGATGATGGAGACCATTGTTGCTGTCACTAAGGAAGGAGCTGTGTCTGTGATCGGTGGCGGTGACACTGCCACTGCCTGCAAGGTCTATGACACCGTTGACAAGGTCTCCCATTGCAGCACTGGTGGTGGCGCTTCTTTGGAGCTCTTGGAAGGCAAGCTCCTTCCTGGAGTGGCCGCGTTGGATGACTCAAAGTCTCTTGCAACTGCATAGATCTTTTAATTTCATTCACTGATGTTTCGTATTTCATGTGCCGCAGAACGCAGGCACATCTTTCCAGAACCCAAATTGTCCTCAATTGTTCAGGCAAAATAGCTCATCTGAATCGTGCGGTTCCGGCCTGTGTGGACTTGAATCTGCTTGGCACAGATGGAGCTTCACTGTCGCCTTCTGAGGTGAAGTGTTGGGCCAGAAGGCGGCGTATTGAACGGTTTGCCAGTGTGTCAGACAGAGATTTAGTAAATGTAGTTGATGTTGGGACTCAGTTCTCTATGCCAGTGTGCGTTCGAATCCCGGCAACCTTCGCAATGGGTTGCTTCAGTGTCGAACGCACAGGCGAGGCATTTACTCGAATGTCCTTGCCCGAGGGGCTGGTCCGATCGGTGGATGGAGGGGTCGTCTAAGTTGGAGAGCAGGACCGTAGTTCCTTGGTGGTTGCGATACGCACACGACAATGCTAATAGAAGTGATTTCGTGGTCAGACCAACTGTCTGCTGCCGACCAACTCTTGGTGAGTCCTGAACGATGGGGATCCACTGGTATGACTAGCCTCAGTTGGCCCACGACACACGATGGACCAATCAAGACAGCATCCGATTCATGGAGCCTGACCTCGATCTTCTTGTCGCCGTTGGTCGCAACTGTGATTTCTGGTGGTCCCGTTGACCGTTTAGACCTCTGCTAAGGTCTTGGGTTTCTTTGGTGGCATTACATGGGCTTTGTTGGTGGCTCGTGTTTGTCAGGAAGCCCAGCGAACCCCAGAGCCATCCAGTTGGAGATGAAGGAAGTTGGATCACACGTGGATGTTCCAACGAGACGAACTGCAATTCGCTGCACGGAGACGAACTAAGGCCAGTTATATCCGAACTATTGCTTCAGCCAGCTCGTTAACAGGTACAAGACTGGTCGAGTGATTTTGCTTACATATGTTTCATATATACTGTAGAGTGTTCACATGCAGCATCTACAGCACTTGGGAAGTCCCCTCCGTCGATTTGTCATTTCCAGCAAAAGCCTGACGGAGCCTGCTGTTCGCCAGATTTTTTCGCATCTACGATCAGTGGAATTGGTCAAAGCCTGTGATGTGAGGTCCTCAGAGCGCCCTCTTTTACTAACCTGGCCCTTGCCTAAATTGAAGAACATAGCTTGTATTTCTAGTATTTTCTAGCCATAAATGATGGGTTGCTAATTGCGATAGATGTTAGAGACATCAGAATCATACTCCTAAAGGTTCATGCGACGTATTTTTTTCCCCACCTGCCAGGTGAGGGTTGTTAGACTTTATCAGAGCTGTCAACTCCTCTCTCCCCTCCTGCTCCTCCACCTCAACTGCGAGCGTTAGATTGCAGTGGGCACCACCGGACCTCAACCGCGAGCATTAGATTGCAGTGCACAGGACCTCAACCGCGCGCTAGATCGCAGTAGGCACCACCGGACCTGGACCAGATAGATTCCAGAATGAACGCCGATTGCCAGAAAGAATGTCATAATATATGCAATGGCAAGAAGGAATGTCCGCCTGAGTGCCAGAATAAATGTCAGGAAATATGCAAGACCAAGTGCTCGAAAATATGCCAGATAGAGTGCAAGATAGACTTCGACGAAATTCAGAATGTATGCCCAATGAAATGCCAGAATATGTGAAAGATAGAATGCCACAATTCACGGCATGTCAGAATAATTGCCAGGATAAATGCAAGACAGAGCGCAAGAAAAAGATTGCCAGATAGAGAGTGTACCAGAATATATTCCACTTGAAGTATACATATATTTTACACTTGATATTCCTTCCACATCGAGTTTGCGATTGTTTGTTGATTGGGGCTAAAGTGCCTAGGGGAGTGACTGGGCTGGCGAGCAAACATGCGTGTCTTGTTCTGACTTTCAGTTGGTGTTGTTGCTGTTGTTGCTGCTGCTGTTGGTGTTGTTGTTGTTGCTGCTGCTGCTGGTGCTGCTGCTGCTGCTGTTGTTGTTGTTGTTGTTTCCGTATATGCGTGTGCGTATATGTGTGTGCGTGTGGGTGTGTGCTTGGAACATGCTACAATACTCTATTGTAGTTTTGAGTGCCGAGTCTGATTGAGTGCAAATGGTGCACATTTCGGCGTGTCTAATGCAAGGAAACGTTCACTGGGGTTTGGTTCGCCTTTTTCAGGCTTTGCGACATCGTCGAGAGCGTTCCCGGAATCTCTGGATTTAAGGCCGGTCGAACGAACCGCGATCGAATCGCCGGTTCCTCTTCAGATCTTTGATTGGATGGGATGCTTGAAATATGAGGAACTTGTGATCGAAGATTAACATCCCTATGTGAGGAATTTGGGAATGGTCCAAATGACCCCAGTCCACAGTTGAGTTGAGGCGGACATAGGGCAACCCACAAAATCTAGAGGAAGACACGTCAAATCGAATATCGGGAGGTCTCAGAAAGAGAGAGAGAGAGAGTGTGTGAGAGTCTTTACCGTCTTTGTCATGTGTGTTTGGGATGTATGTTACGTCCCTCATTTTGAGAAGACAGAGCTTCTACATCTTCAGCTTTCCTGTGCATGAGATGAATGGGCCATGGGCATGGGGCCCGTGTAGATTTCTTTATCTCTCCATTGGCCTTTGCAAAACAACATCAACACATACCAGGACCTTCCCAAATCTTCACGACTCAATCCAAATAATTCCATCTTCGAGTTTCTATCAAATAGAGGGCCTGCTGCCGAGCCTATTTCCAGGTCTGGAATCCGAAGACCAGCCACGCTGACAAGCGTGAGCCTCGGTCTGTCGTAGGGAGGGTGAGATTTCAGTGGAAAAGCCTCGCAGCCCGTGAAGAGGGCCATTCGCTGTTGGGACTCAATTGAGTGGTAAGATCATGAAAGATGCACAGGTTCCTACCTACTTTCTTGTTTATTAGGGACCATGAGTTCTGGTTCAATCATGTTCCAGGCAGGAGTTCAACTGACCTGAGGATTGTAATCTTGCATTCTTCAGTTCTAGCCAGGGTTGGTGTCTCCTAAAGCTAAGGCAACATCTCATGCCCGTGATCACTCCGGCGTTCCCAGCCATGAACTCCACGTGCGCGGAGTAGCTGTCAGCTGATTGTCCACATATTGATTCGCTTTAGAGACAGAGCGCTCTCAGGATAAAGTGCAGTAGGACCTGACAAGTGAGTTAGCATTGCCATACCACGAAAAGAGGAGTGTGATAATGTGGGATATTCAAAGTATCCATTTATCAGCAAACACATGCGAAACCGCGTTGCTTTCTGGAAGCAATTCCTTCTTCCTTCTGGCGAAGGCACAACGTCACCGAAACCACAAAGAGGATTTTGCTTGATGAATTCCGCCGTGGCTATGAGGCCTGCAAGACTTTAGCCACTAAGGATCGAACAGAAACCTTCACAGAGTGTGCCAGCCATCGTAGATGTATAGTCTGTATCGTTTGTATGGCTGGGGCTTTTGCCTTTATCGTTGCAAAAGCAGCTTGTCAGATTGAGTTCAATTGTTGTCTCCCAAAGCTCCAGTACAGGTGGTGAAAAAGGTGGAGCAGAACAAAGCAGCTTGGAAGGAGCGCGCCAGGGCCGGCAGGTGGAATTGATACTTTGATTAAGGTCTTCAAAGGATTTCAAGAGGATCCCTGATGCATCTTAGATCTGGATGATTCGAAAGATGCAATTTCTAGCCCTCGGCAGCTCCAAAAAGTCGGCCTCGCCCCGCCAGGAGGTTCACGAACCCTTCCCATTCTTCAACAATGGACCCTTCAGGCCATGCTCCAGTGGATGCACCAGGTGTTCAGTCCATTTTGTGATCATTTGGAGTCGAAGGCTGCGAAGGGCAGTCGTTTGATGTTGTTCGACTGTCTCATGCAACGCCCGTTTGAGTTGGTGCATGTTTGTGCCATGCCTTGCGTTTTTTCCACGTCAGGCAATATCTTTGCCTGGAAGTGCTGGCAAAGACCGCCGAAGTCCATGTGAAGTGTGGCGGTCCAGCAATGTCCAGCAGGTTGAAGCATCAAGACCCATGTGAAGAAAGCATTGGCATGTGGCGTTTGCTATCACCACTGCCATGTTCGAAATCAAAAGCGGATGTTTCATATTCTCACAGTGGATGTTTGATCTCAAGCGCAGCATTTGTTTGATGGTCCAGTGAGCTGGGTAGACCGAGTAATTGTGCTGAAGCAAAAAGCATTCATTGTGGTCCAGTGAGTGGGCCTAAACCGAAGCACGTCTAGAAGGGTCCCTAAAGAAGAGTATACGATTTGTTGCGAACACAGAGAGTGTTTTGAGTGGAGTGTTGTGCGATCGACGGGTGTCCGTACATGTTCGCTCCATTCAAAGCACAAATAGGAGAAAGGAGCACTCCACCGACGTGGGCTTTTCACAGCTTTGGCCAATTCTGAGAGTGAGGTTCTGCGGTTGGGTTGAGAGCAAGCTCCGGATTCTCCACAAATCCTTAGAGGCGGGTGGTGTGCGGTGATGGTCCGACTGCATCAACGCCAGATTTGCAAGATCCCAACATGTGAGAAGTTGTTGGAAGAAGGTTGAGATGGTGGATGCCGATGCCATCCTTTCTTCTCGCGCAACAGAGCATGCTTGCAGAAAGTACATCAGATCGATCGTCCAAGGATTCCCTACTTTTTCTGCTGAGGCATTCCCGTCAACGTGTTTCCTCCCAGGTTGTCCTCCCAGTCCCGCGCCACCCCTCCGTCAACCAGACGCTGCCCAGCGCCAGGGATCCGTGCGAGGGATGCAGATCCATCCCAATCCGGAGCAGTACGATTTGAGGCCGATGAAATCCAGGGTGTTTCCGGCGATTCCCCCCGGTCAAAACATGGCACGCCGTGGTGGCTTGCTCCTTTGACAGGTCTTTCTAATCTTTCTACTGTTTGTCCTCCCAATCCTAGAGAACGGTTGGCCCAGAGCGGGAGATATCGTGAAAGGGTCTTTAAGTCTCCTCCAGCCATCGGTACAATGCACGTTGTAGTCAATGAGACCTTAGTCACGCTCATGGTGCCCGACACCTGTGGCGCTATGCTGGGTTTTGCTGGGGTGGTAGTAATGAAAAACAACGAAAAACAACTTGTCACCCAAATTCCATGGAATCACTCT